AAATGTATCAGAACATGTGAGCTAGACCAATTGATTAATTCACAGAAAAAGTGTAGGATTTCCAAGTCACTACCAAAGGACAGCTGCAAAATTCGTAGGGTTTGTACTACAGAATCCAGGACATTTGTTATTCAAGAAACAAGAAGAAATAACATACTAGTTTGCTCTCAGGTTGACTGTGTAATACAAGGGGGGACAGACTTCCAGAAAGTTGGTCATAGGCCATGACACTTAGCAGAAAAATGTCTAACCATGCAAAGAGTAGGAAAAGATTCATTTGAGTGATATAGTTGGTATGGGTAAAGACTTTGCTCTGTGTCTTGATGTTCATCAAAATCTTTGGGACAGTAGTTGATGTGAAACCGATATTGGTAAGGACAAGTTAGAAAGCAAGAAGTACTTAGGTATGTGCAGGTGTGAGACAAAGATTGTGGCCAGGATAATTAGCAGGTTACCAAGGACATTGATCAGGAACATGGATATGAACTGTCCAAGAGTACAGGCTGCAGTCTCGGGACTTCTGAAATTCACAGAAGTAGAAGTTCTGAAGTTTGTGTGTTATTCTCCGGAACCATGAGGCTGATGTGACTAATAACAATGGTGTGACATAATTATGCAATACTAAGCACACATAATTTTTCTTGTGTATATTCTGTAGTCCACACTTGAATTCCTATGAATATGAACTCACGTATTTTGCATATGAATCTGCTCCTCTCTAAGGGATCCCCTGATGGCTCTCATTTGAAATTCCTGTCTCATTCTCTGCTTTTTCCTAAGAGGTTATGTATTCAAAATTTTTAAACAATAATTCATTTCTGAATTTGAGGAATGTAATTTGGTGAAGAACATGTTGTAACACTGTCCAGTAAATAATTGAAATGTGCAAAAAAAAGAAATGTTTCTGAAAAACTTATGAAGGAAGAATGATACAAACAACTGAAAGCAGATACAGTTTGATAAAGAAATTATCCTGTTACTTGTCTGATGGTGACAGGTATTTTAAAGCTAAAAAGGAGATGTAAAGAAAGTGTCTGCGGAGGTTAATTATTACTTGGAGTTCACGTGTGGCCACTTGAAAAGAGACCTCAGGAAGACAGTGAGGAGGCTACCACATAATGTACAGAAGTGTGCGCCTGGAAGTAAAACTAGACAATGCTAACACCGGCAGGTAGGATTTGCTCAAATGTTCAAAGTCAGTGTGGATAGCACAAAAATGGGGGGAAAGCCTGGATGAGATAGATTCATGTCTGAACTGTACCAGACATTATTCCATAAAATTGAATACCTCAATAAGCAAATGCTATAAATGTAAATCTGCAGCCAACATCACACAACATGAAAAAAAATTGAAACCACTTCCCCTAAATTCAAGAAAAAGGCAAGAGTATCCATTCTCTTCTCTACAGATCTTAAAATTTTAGCACAAGAAATACAGTTAGAGAAAGATATTAAAAGTGAAACAAAAAAAGAAAAGAAGTCAAATTTTATCTATTTGCAGATGATATGATCCTTTGCTTAAGAGACCCTAAAGACTCTGCCAAAAACTGAAATCTGTGAACACTTTTACAAAAGTAAAAGGGTACAAAATCAACATAAAATATCAGTAACTTTTCCTTATACCAATAATGAACATGCTGATGACGGAAAACAATCCGATTCCCAATAGCCTCAGCAAATACCTATGAGCAAATTTAATTAAGAAAGTGAAAGATCCCACCAATGAGAATGTAAAGATGGAACAAAATTCCTTCTCCACAAATTTTCTCTCCCAGCGTCAAGGAGAATTTGTCCATCCTGAATATCCTGAGTATGAGGTGGAGGAGAAGTCCTTGAGAACACAGGACTCAGAGGTTAAGCAACATGAAATGATAAACACGAACAGGTAGCAGCACCTTCTCAGTGGCAGACAGGTTCCATGACCACTCGGATTTCACTTGTGCAGAGAAATTAAAATTTCCCTTTCTTCTTAGGGGCACTATGGCATTTTTGTGGGTCTGACTGAGCTATTCTCCTGCAGACAATTGTTCATGTAAACTCCCATCAGAGAATAAGAATGCAGTGTACTTGAATTCCAGGAGCACATCTTTACACACCTTGTTACATTATTGTCAAATTTGTCAGGTTTTCTTTTTTCTTCTTTTATGTCATATTAGCATATTTTCATTGTACAAATAAATTATTACATTTTTACAGATCCATACAATGCACTTGGATCAAATTCTACCTCTTTATTTCTCTTGCTTAAATCCCTCCCCTAATCCTCCAACAATCGTAACAGGCTTCACTTTCTATTTTCATGCAGTCATATAAATTACTTCTATCATATTCACATCCTATTACCCTCTTCATATGCCCATTCTCTTCATGGAGTTCTCTTCATGTTTTAATGCTCATGCCAGTTTGTAAATTTTGCAAAAAATGCAACACTTAGCTTTATGATTAAGGCTTATTTTGCTTAGTATAATGATCTCCAGTTCTGTCCATGTGTTATTAACATTTCATTCTATTTGTCATTTATGTTAATTGAGCTCCTCAGTTCTACCCTTCCTTTTCCTCATTCTGTATTTTAGGAAACATTATTCAGCATTACTCCTTCCCAAATTTTCCAGCTTGGAGTAATGACAATCCTAGATTCAAGCTGACTTTTGTTAACCTCCCCAAAAGAGAGACAACATGTATTATTATTCCTGTGTCTAGCTTATTTCACATAAACTACAGTTTCATCTATTTTGCATCAAATAACAAGATTTTATTGCTACTTATGGGTGAATAATATTTCACTGGGTATATATTCCCTCATTTTCTTTTCCCACCCATACATGGATGTGAATCAAAGTTGAATCCATATATTGGAAAGAGCATGGAATTATAGTTATATATTTGGAATGCTGACTTCTTTTTGAGTTTTATTATCAAACTTAATGCCAATATGTTTAAATACTTTTTCTACCTCAAGTCTCTTCTTAAATCAGTCCACATTCACTTTTCTGATTCAGACTTCCTGCATTCAACACAAAAAAATCACTGAGTAAAAACCCCATAACAAGAACTGTCCTAGATTTTAAGTTTGCAAACACATATGAGGCACAGTTCTGAATTATAAACATGGATAACATATGTTTCTGAATTTTTGGGCATCTGTATAATGTATAAATCAAAAATAACAGTAAATTGGGTGCACTAAAAAGAAAGTGAAATAACTAAAAATGTGGGAATGCTCTGACTTGTTATTTACATAGTCTCAGAATACATCTATTTGTTACTTTACAGGACAACATTTCTGAAGTAGGTCCTCATAGCATTAGCTATGATAATATGTGTATAATATGTATGATATGATTTAGTTAACAAACGTAAAATGAAACACTACTGCACATAAATGAAAAATGCCAGATTATAGTTCTAGAAAGTTACAATCACTACATAAAAACAAAAAACTGTTATCAAATATATAACTTTATAAGGTGTAGCTAGGGCAGGAAAAAAGACCCTAAAAACACACAAGTAATGCCTTGCTTTAAAATATATATAACACAAGCAGTAAATACATCTAAACAGTAGGCCAGATTTACTGGTCCTTAGTTCCATGATTGTCCTGCCCTGGTCCCTTCACTGACAGGCTCCATTTGCTGAGGAATCTCCCCATGGCCCTTTCTCTCTCTGCTCCTCATATTGTAGATGAATGGATTCAGAACAGGGGTCACTGTGATACACAGGCTGAGACCATCAATCAGCTTGTCCTAGTGGACAGAGTGGCTTCAGAACTCAGGAAGACCCCAAAGCCATTGCAGCAGTTTGGATTCAAAATGTCCCCCACAGCCCAGGTGCTAAGGACTTTGAAGGTAGTATGATACTTATAAAGATAGTGTAGAATGTTTAACAGGTGGAGCCTAGTAGAAGGTCTTAGATCTTTGGGACATACACTTGAAAGTCACATATGGTACAATTTTCCTGTTTCTTTTCCACTTCTGCCCATGAACTGAGCATCCTATACCACATGTTCTATATCCTTCATGATGTGATGCCTCACCACAGGCACAAAGCCATGGAACCAGCCCATCATAGACTTGAATCACACATACTGTGAGTGAAAACAAGCCTCCTCTGTGTATAATTTGATGATATCACATATTTCATTTCAGCAATGATTAATAAATCCAGTGGCATGGAAAAAGGAGATCACTAGGAGGTGAGATGTTCATTTAGAAAAGCTTTTGTAGTGGCCTCAACTCATAAAATTCTCAGGATGGGTTCAAAAATATGAGAATCAAAAAAGAATATCTCAGACAGAAAAATAACAGTGACCAGCTAGGATGATGGTCACACTCATACCAAAATATAACTCGTGAGAGTATCTGACCAGTTGAGCTTTAGGATTTCAGAAACATCACAAAACATGCTTGGGGTATGTTTGTGTTTTAGGGAAGAATTAATACAACAAGAATTGAGGATTACACAAAGGAAAAACTGTAGTCTCAGATTTTCTTCTACTATGAAATACTATTCATGACCTGTGCTGTTATTTGTGGTCTATCCCACAAGAGTACAGCCTATGTGTATTTTTACTAAAAGAAAAATCATTCATTATGATCTATGGCACTTCAGAAAAAATTACTTCTAAAAATGTGTGGTATAAGGTTGATGGGAATGTCCAAGTACATCTAATACAAAGATGGAAAAGCATGGGGGGATTAGAAAATTATTAAAATAAAGATGATTGTATGTCATAGAGAGAAGAAAGTATAATAAATTGAATTCTGTAAGTGGCTTCTATATAGACTAGCTGAAATGAAGAAAGAGAAACTTCAGGAATAAGTAGAAAGAGCAAGTTCTGATCAACACATTCTACTTCCGACACTGAGGATTTTTGTAGTACTAGGGTACAATTCAAGGCCTGTCACGTGAGCCACACCATCAGTTGACACTGAGGACTTAACTCCTGCAATCATGGATGCTTCTTTAGTCTCAGAACAATTGGAACTCTATTAGATTCCCTATCAAAAAAGTCTTTTCAAAGCACTCTTGATGTCCTTGTTCCTCAGACTGTAGATGAAGGGGTTAAGCATGGGGGTGACCACACTGTACATCACTGAGGCTCTTGCAGTAGAGTGTGTGTCTTGGGTCACTGCAGAACTGAGGTATACGCCTAGTCCAGTACAATAATAGAAGGAGACAACTGAGAGGTGAGATGCACAGGTGGAAAATGCTTTGTACTTCCCCTGAGCTGATGAGATTGCACGGATGGAGGAAACAATCTTACAGTAAGAGCAAAGGATGCCAGTCAGGGAACCCACAGCCACCAGCACAACTGAACAATAAATCACCACATCATTAAGAAAGGTGTCAGAACATGCAAGCTGGACCAATTGGTTAAGTTCACAGAAAAAGTGTGGGATTTCCAAGTCACTACAGAAGGACAGCCGCAAAACCATTAGAGTTTGTAATACAGAATGCAGGATACTTGTGATCCAGGAGACTAGAAGAAACAACAGACAGACTTGGGGGTTCATGATGAGTGTGTAATGCAGGGGGTGACAGATTGCCACAAACCGGTCATATGCCATCACAGTTAGAAGAAGCATGTCCAACCCTGCAAATAGTAGGAAAAAATACATTTGAGTGATGCAGTCGGTGTAGATAATGACTTTACTCTGTGTCTTGATGTTCACCAGCATCTTTGGGACAGTGGTTGAAGAAAAACCAATATCAGTCAAGGACAAGTTGGTGAGGAAGAAGTACATGGGTGTGTGCAGGTGGGAGTCTGAGATCGTGACCAGGATGATGAGCAGGTTTCCAAGCACAGTGATGAGATACATGAACAGGAACAGTCCAAAGAGTGCAGGCTGCAATATGGGGTCTTCTGAAATTCCCAGAAGTAGAAATGCTGAAGTTTGTGTGTTATTCTCTGGACCCATGTCGTTGATAAGACTAATTTAAAAAGTGTATTAAAATTATGCAATACCAACCTGACATAAATATTTTCCTATGTATTCTGTAGGGCACACTTGAATTCTGAGGTTTTGCATGTGAATCTGCTCCCCTATGGTGCATCCCCTGATGTTTCTGATTTGTAATTTCCTGTCCCACTCTCAGCCTTTTCCTAAGAGGTCATGTACTCAAAAATTTTAAACACTAATTCAATCATGAATTTGACACTATAATTAGGTGAAGATCATGTTGCAACACTGTCCAGTAAATGATGGATATGTGAAAATTGAGATGTTCTTGAAAATCTAATGGAGAAAAGATACAAGGAAATGAAAGCAAATACAAAGTTACAAAAAAATTATCCTGTCACATGTCAGATGGTGACAGGTACTTTGAAGTTAAAAAGAACATATCAAGACAAAGTATCTCTGGAGGTTAGTTATCACTTGGTGTGCAGGTTTGGCCATCAGACAGGTGACACTTGAAAAAAAACCCATGAGAGCTACCATGTAATCTACAGAAGTGTGCTCCTGGAGTAACAATGGACAATGCAAAACCTGTAGGTAAGTTTTTCCTCAAATGATTGAAGACTGTGTGGAGAGTGGAATCAGCAAGAGGGAAAGAAAAAAACCCTGGACCAATGCATTCATGACTGAATTGTACCAGACCTTTAAAAACTAACACAAATGCTCCTAAATTATTCCATAAAATAGAAAGCAAAGGAATATACCAAACTCATTAAACAAAGATAGTATTGCCCTGATGCCAAAACTCAATCAATACACAACCAAAAAGCGAAACCATGGTTTTCTTGATGAGTATACATGGAAAAATCAAGAAAACACTTGCAAACTAAGTTCAACACTACCATGATAATACACTATGATCAAATTAGTTTCATCCTATGGGTGTAGGTTTGGCTCAGCATACACAAATCAATAAGCATAGTACATCTCAAAAATGGAATCAGGGTCAATATCACATGATCATCTTGAGAGACACAGAAAAAGACTTTGGAAGTATTTTATATTCCTACATAATAAAAGCCCTGAAAATGCTAGGAATCTGAGTAGCATACCTCAACAAACAAAGGCTATAAATGTAAACCTGTATCCAACTTCACATGAAATGAGGAAAAATTGAAAGCACTTCCTCTAAAATCAAAAAGTAGGCAAGCGTGTCCACGTTCTTGTCTATTATTTAAAATAGAGCCTTAAATTTTAACAAAAGCAATAAGGCTAGTGAAAGATAGAAAAATGACATGAAAAAGAAAGGAAGAAGTTAAATTTTCTCTCTTTGCAAATATGAGACTATGCTTTAAAACCCTAATGAATTCACCAAAAACTGAGATCTGATCAAATCTTTTGCCAAAGTAGAAGGATATTAAAACAACATTTAAAAATCAGTAATTTTCCCATATACCAATAATGAACATGCTGAAAATAAATCAGGAAACAATCCCACTCAAAATAGCCTCAAAAATACCTAGAAGCAAATTCCACTAAGGATGTGAAAGTCCCCTCCAATGAAAACTGAAAAGAATAGAAAGATCCCTTGATTCTGAAGTGGCAGAATCAATGTTTAAATGGTTCTAATACCAAAAGTGATCTAAGATTCAATGCAATCACCATCAAAATTTCAATGACATTCTTCACAGAAATAGAACAATTAATCCTAAAATTCATATGGAAGCACAAAAAAGCCTGAATACCTAATGCAACCCTGAGCAAACATAGCAATGCTGGAGCTATCATAATACCTAAATTCAATTTATACTACCAAGCCATAATAAGAAACAGAATGGTACCCACACAAATACACACAAGGACCACGGAACAGAGGACACAGAATAAGCCCACACTGCTTACAGCTACCTGACCTTTGAAAAAATTGTCAAAAACATACATTGGAGAAAAGACAACCTCTTCAACAAATGATTTGCTGGGGAAAACTTTGTCATTACCACATGTTAATACTGAAAAATGAGATGCCACTGTATCTCTGACCCTGGGACAAAATCATTTCAAAATGGATTAAAGACCTTAATATTAGACCAGAATCCTTAAAACTACTAGAGAAAACAAAAGGAAAGTGTTGGAAATTAGAGGAACAGGCAATGCTTTTCTGAATCAGACTCCAATAGCTCCGGAAATAACAGGAAGCAATAACAAAATGGATTACTTCAAATAAAAAGCTTCAGAACACCAAAGAGTACAATCACCAGCATGAAGAGACAACCTACAGAAGGGGAAATAGTTGTTGCTAACTTTTCATATGACATATAATTATATGTCATATGTATAAAGAACTCAAAAATTAAACACCAAAAAATAATCCAATTAACAAATGGGCAAATGAACTGAAACAGACAGATTTGTCACGCACAAATGGCTGAAATGCTGTATGTTTTATCTCATATGTGAAATACAGACATAAGACAAATACAAGCAATATTATGAAAAGTAGGTCACTAAGGGGTATTAAGGGAAGACTACTAATGAAAGAGAGAAGGTAAGAAGATGAGTGTGGTTGATGCACTCCTCAAACAAGATGAATGTAGAAGTTCTTTAAAAGCGTTTGAAATCACTGTAAGAAGGGATAATGGTAAGAAGGGAAAAAAAATGAATGGAATCTTGGATATAATGCATATATCACATGGAAATTGTCGCAGGAAACTCCTATATTAAGGCTATCTTCAAAAAACAAAAATGTCACTTTTTGAAAGAAAAACAGACCCACAAGGAGGCAGAACAGGTTCTGCCTGGGGTTGATACCAGTAGGACAGGGGAGGTTGTAGGGAAGGTGATAGTTATGGTTAAATATGATTCAAAATACTTGGTGTGCCACATGATATGTATGAACGGGGGAACATGAGACCTGTATGAAAACTGTTCCTAGAATGGGTAGGGTGATAGCAGGATGGGATGGATTGGAGGAATGAATTCAACTATGATATATTGCAAGAACTTTTGTAAATGTCCCAATAAACTCCCAGCACAAAAATAAGTACACCTAAGTACAAATGTCTAAAAATACATATCAAATGTTCAATATTATTAGTCAACAAGTAAATGCACATGGAAAGGACATTGAGATTCCATCTCACTCCAGTCAGAGTGGCAATCATCAAGGAAACAAACAACAACATATCCTGGAGAGAATATAAGGAGGAAAGAACCCTTAGACCCTGTTGGTGGGAATGTAAATTAGTGCAGCCACTATAGAAATCAGTATGAAGGTTCTTCAAAACCTAAAATTAGAACTACTATATGATGCTGCTATACCACTCCCAGCTATGTACCCAAAGAAATCAAAGCCAGCCTACAAAGATGCCTTATGTCTATCCATTGCCTTTGTTCTAGTCTCTGTATTATGAGTTATCTTTTGGAATATGTGGAGCTCAGGATGCAAGTCTTTGAACTTACTTGTACTCATAAATACAAACACACATCACATCACATCACATGACAACATACCATACTGCTTGCCTGGGGCCATGGAAATATGCTCTTCTGACCTCCAGGCTCACTATGAGAAAGTAAAAGATAGCAGGCAAGATGTCTGTTTTGAATTGTGTTTTTCCAAATATATGTACAAAATAGACTCAAAAATCCACGTTGTAAATTTCCATATAAGCTTACCCTTGAGGTTACTATTTCCCAGTGTGTTTTCTACCATGTGTTTCAAGAAATATAAAAAAATTGTCCTGTGGATGTAGCTCAGTGACAGAGTAAGCTTGGCTAGTACAAGGACAGCCCTGAGCTCCATCCCCAGGTGTGAAAATTATTAAAAAGTTTTTTAAAAATCTCAGTAATGACAAAGAGAGTTACAGTGACAGAGAAATTAAGTTTTCTTAATTGTGGACAGTTCAACCTAAAGTGGTTGTGAGAAAAACTTCCCTGTTTCTGGCTGCATTCCAAGTCCAACCATATCCCCTTGAAGACTACTTCATTTAATAAAGCATCAGAAGCAAATTTCTCAATAAAAAATTAATGATATCTTTTAAGTGCCATGACAGAGACTAAATATCCATATGGAAAAAAATCATTCAAGGGGAAGAAAAAGACAAAATTCTATTTAAGAAAACATAGAAAGAACACCAAACATTAGTAGTTTCATATGAAATACTAAAAGATCAATTCTCTGCTATATTGAATATTTATTTTTTTGATTCAGTTTTTATGTCTTATTGCATTTTTAATATGCACATAATAATTGTACCAATATTTATAGTACAAGGCAGATTTTACTACATGTTAACATTGTGTAGTAATCAAATCAGGATAAAAAGTATATCTATTACCTCAAACATTAATCATTTGTTTGTACTGACATTATTGAAAATCCTCCCTTGCAGTTTTTCTGAAATGCACAATTTGTTTTTTAAGAATCATCACCGCATTGTGCAATAGTATAACAAAATTTATTCCTTCTTTCTAACTGTAACTTGGCACTCTTTGATGAGCTTTTCTTCTCCACTCCAGTCTCTGGTAACCATTATTCTATTCTCCATATCTATATGATCAACATTTTCTTTCAGGAGATAGTGGGATTTAAACTCAGGACCACACATTTGCTAGGCAGGTGCTCTAACACTTGAGCCACTCTGACAGCCTAGAGATCAACTTTTTAGATTACACAGGGAAAACAATTAGTATCACTCATTCTAAGGAATTAGTGACACAGAGAGAAAAATAACAGTTGGTTTCTGTGGAAAATCACAGATGAGACAGGGCTATTTCTCCAGTTCCTTGTGTGATATCTTTGCTTTGTTGTTACACCACTTTCAGTATAAGACAAATCCAATGAGCACACTGCACGTCCTGAATGTATTTTTACCCAACCTCTAAACACTTCTGCTGAACAAATACTATAAATTCTGCATACACTATGATAGATAATATCTGTAATTTAATGCTATCAACAGAGGATTATTATTAAATTGGTAAGGTCTTAGATATAAGAGGACATAATGAAAATATTCCTC